AAGAGCGTCCGCCTTTTTCTCCCCAGACCGGAGAGAACTGGGGAGGGGTTGTGGAGCGGGCATGAGCGCCCCTCCGTCGCTTCCGTGACCAGGCTGCCCGGGACTGGAAGCGCTCCTGGCGGAAGATCCGACTTGCTGCCGCAGTCATTGCAGCCGCCAGGATTGGCTGGAGCTCAGCCTTCCTCTGCCGCCATGTGATCGGGGCGGAGAAGGAAGGCGCGAGAGATGGAGGGGAGCGAGCAGGACGGAGCGAGGCGAGGGGCCAAGCGGGCCGAGGCGGAGGGAGAGGAAGGGGAAGCCGGGCGCGATGGCGGAAGTGAAGAGCGGCGGCCGGCGAAGGGGCGTTTCAGGCCCGGCCTGGGGTAAGGGACGGTGAGACTCAACCCCCTCGGGGGGAGGGGGAATGTCACGGAGGTGTCAAAGTTTGGTCGATCCGGGGAGGAGGCTGAAGGCTGGCATAAGCCCGAAGGCATCTCAGGGGAGAGGTCGACATCATCATCTGCTCCTGTGAAGCCTGGCTATGGTAACTCAGTAGTGAAGTAAGGGCACTCTGCACGTGCTCAGAATTCTTTGCTGCTAGGGGCTATTGCTGCGTTAGGAGCGGATAGGGCCTTTGGAAGAGGTCTGACAGTGGGAAAGAGCTCGAGGCTGCCTTCAGTCCCTGATGTCCTGTGACCTGTGGGCCATTGCTGCTCTGCCGTTTGTCTTGGAAAACTGGTTTCAGGGAAGAACTCACAGTCTGAACATTAGTCCTGCGTCTGAGGGCGGGTTGTGGTTATTCAGAGATGAGCGCAAACCATTCTGTTAGCATCCATAGCCATTCTCTATACATTTTGCAATTGTTCCCTAGTTTTGGGGCTAAGACTTGTGAACTGTGGATTGAATGAAGCATATGAATGGACAGAGTGTTCAGGGGAAGGAGTGGTGTTGCTGGACTCCAAGCCTGTGTGTGTGAGGGGGAAATGACAAAGAGCACTTCTGAGAAATTACATGGGTGCAAGTGTAGCTGTACAGTCTGGGCTGAAAGGTGAACATAGCCTGGTCTCTGTCTTCTCTCTACAGCATCTCTCTGCCCCTCTATGGCCTAGCTCTTGCCTAGATCAGTAGGCTGGACAGTTCTACCCCACCAGTTGTTTCTAGTGAGATATGGAGGTGGCAGGCAGGGAAAGAACACTTGTCAAACAAGATGCTGTGTTGATTCCATCACTGACTCATCCTACAGTTTAGGGAGTAACTGATAAAGCTTTCTCCTTTAAACTGACTCAGTCTGCAAAATTAAGACTGGCCTCTGCCTGGGGGTTTAAGGCACAATCTTGTGCAGAGTTACTCTAGCCAAGGCCTATGGGTTCCCACTAGAATAACTCTGTGTATCATTTGCCTCTTTCATTACCCTTATCTCAGCCGTCTCTCTGGTGCCACACTCCCTTGAAGCAGCAAACTGGAGAATTACCGCTCCTTTACTTCCTCCCTGCTAGGCATGTAGTGTCTGAGGGGGCTTTCACACTTTGTCTTGGCTTCTTTACAGCAGTGCTGTTTTTAGGAACATCCTCAGAACATTGTCCTGTGTTTTCCCTTGCTTTGCTGTGATGTTTCCCAAACATGGTGTTATGATTTTTAAAGAAAAGATCAGTCAAAGTGCTTTTAGATGCTGTGTGAAATGGGAAGCTTTTCCTTAGTTAAGTCCCCACTATTTCCCCCTCCCTCCACCATCACATTTTTTTAAAATCAAGAATTGACAGATTGCTATAATGCAGTAACATTATAATGATGCAGTAACATTATAATGGAGGCCCAGGTAGCAGCCGCTGCCAAGGCAGCCTTTTACCATCTTCGGCTGATTAGGCAGTTGGTTCCCTTCCTCGAATCCAATGATCTGGCTGCAGTGATCCATGCTATGGTCACCTTGAGGTTGGACTACTGCAGTGCTCTCTACATGGGGCTGCCCTTGGTGCAACTCCGGAAGCTGCAGCTGGTGCAGAATGCAGCGGCCAGGCTGTTGATGGGCCTCCCCAGGTGGGAGCACATCCAGCCTGTGCTTAAGACTCTGCACTGGCTCCCAATAGCATTCCGGGTTCGCTTCAAGGTGCTGGTTTTGACCTTTAAAGCCCTTTATGGTCAGGGACCAGCCTACCTGAGGGACCGCCTTTCCCCGTATGTTCCCCAGAGAGCACTGCGATCAGGATCCCAAAACCGCCTGGACCTCCCTGGCCCTAAGGAAGTCAGGTTGATGGTAACCAGGATGAGGGCTTTTTCGTTTGTAGCTCCGTCCTATTGGAACAAGCTTCCTGCCGAGATCAGGGCCCTGCAGGACTTGTCATAGTTCCGCAGGGCCGTGAAAACAGAACTTTTTAGGCAGGCGTTCCGATAGGAGTGACGTCTTACCAGCAGCAGTGTGAACTCCGATCCAATACGACCTAACGCGGTGGCACCGCTGAATGTGTCCCTAAATTGCACTTTAGTTTTATCGCCATCTAATGAATGTTTTATATTGACTAGTTGTGTTTTAACTGAAGTCTTGTATTTTTATTGTGAATGTATACTGCTTGTCAGTTTTTGGAAGCCGCCCTGTGCCTGCCTGGCGGGGAGGGCGGGGTAAAAGTGAAATAAATAAATAAATAAATGATCTACTGCAACAATGTACCAGTTCTTTTAAGTCTCTATCCCTTTTCCTTGTGGAGGTATGTGGGGAAAGGTACTTACTGCACATTTCCCCTTATAGGTCTGCAACAAAAATGGCTAGAGGCTTACTGTTTTAAAAAAGAAAGCTGAGAAATGGTACATTGTTGAAGAAGTGTATGACATTACACTAATGCTGTAGTGACATGTTACCAGTTGTTTAAAAAGGCCCTGCAGTAGAGGTGAACCATGGGGGCTGAGGCAAGATAAATGTGGAGAAAACTGCTGTGGGGATGCTGCGTTGCCTCTGCATTCACAGTGGCAATGAGAGCTACACAGAGAATCATCTCCATGTGGAAGCAGTCTTGATGAATGCTGTCGGTGATTACTGGAAACTGATTTGTGGTGAACTACCATGGCAGATGTTCTGTCCAACTCCTGGAAGCTGGTAGGGTAAATTAATGGCACAGGAAAATTTAGCAGTTGTTAAACATTGCTCCCCTAGAACTTAGGGGCTCGGGGAAAAGACAGGCAGTGAATGGAGTGTGAGCCCAGCAGGACCATTCTGGAGCATCTGCCACTCTGGTGCACCCAAATGGGATCCTTTTTTTCTGATCCATTCTCTTGTTTTCAGCTTGCAGCTTGGTATGGAGAGCCAAAGAACGTCCGTCCTCCATAGGGTGGTCAGTTTTGCCCCTGATCCTCTCCCTGGTAAGGTTTGCTATGGGAGGGTGCATCTCCGTCTCCGTGGGAGCTGCTGTTATCATCAGCCTACAATATTAACCACCTGTTTCCATCTTTCCAGCCAGGCAGTATGACAGACATACCACTGAGCCAATCAGCTTCTACCTCTCGGGCTTGGAGGAGCTACTGTCTTGGAAATCCACCACTGATGATGCTTTCAACGTATCTATTGAGCCCTTAGCTAAACGGCAGCCTCCGCTTGACAGCAACAGGCCCCGCACGCTGGTGTGCCATGATATGAAGGGTGGTTACCTTGAAGACAGGTTGGGACTTCTTGGGATCTGCAATAGAGCCTGAAAAGGGGAAGCTTCCAGATTTGGAAACCGTTGCTAAAAGTAGCCAGATCTGCAACAAGCTAGTCTTGGTGGGACATTTGAGTGAATCCATATAGTTATGAAAGGAGTCTGTGTGTTTTATATACCTTATAACTCCCAATCCCATGCACTGGCCCTGTAAAGTACTTCTATGTGATTATCATCATATTGAGGCTGGTGCATGGAGAGGGGGAAGGGAACTGAGCGAACAGCTGCTTGCATGACTGGAGTGAGTGAGGAACTGGGAGTTTCCTGGTTCACACTTCTGTTGTGCACCGTTGTGTGTGCAGTCCTTGTAACTTCACACCATCCCAGTTCCCCTGTCCTCCTGCAGAACCAGCATAGCCTGTGGAGGCTGAACCTTAGCAGCTGTGCTTGGTCTGAGTCCATAGTCGAAGGAGCCTGCTTTTGCAAATCCTTACTTCATTTGCATCCTGCACTCCCAGTTTAGCTTAGAAGCACTGAACTAAAAGCCTGAAAAACTGGCTTATGGATGCTGCCTTTACAGGGAAAACAGGGAAGTAAATTTAATTTCTGTAAGTGTCTGGGAAACTCCAGCTGTTGTTATAGAGTCTCTGTGCCACTTCAGCTTCAGGGGATGTTAACATCAGCTATGTGGAGCACAGGGATTATAACACATTCATAAGAACACAAGAACATAAGAGAAACCAATGTTGGATCAGGCCAGTGGCCCATCCAGTCCAACACTGTCACACAGTGGCCAAAAATACCAGGTGCCATCAAGAGGTCCAGCAGTGGGGCCAGGACACTAGAAGCCCTCCCACTGTTGCCTGCTCCATGCAAGCTGTACTTTGCTGTATGTGATACTGGCCCTTGCTAATTACTTATTTCTGACAAAGTCCCTCTCTTTTTACTGTGGACAGGTTCATCCAGGGGTCAGAGGTCTGTGACCCTTTTGTATTCTACCACTGGTGCTACATTGACATCTTTGTATACTTCAGCCATCACACAGTTACCATTCCACCAGTGGTGTGGACCAATGCTGCTCATCGCAATGGTGTCCTTATGCTGGGTGAGTTTTGGGAGGAATGGAGCATTCTGGAGCATGTGATGTCACCACTGGGTTGGGCCTGCTTTAAAGGAGTACTCAGAGTGGTTGCTTTTAGCATTTAGTCTGTAATGAACATCCTTCATTTGTTACATTTTTATTGACATGTTTGTCACCATTCGCTGTTGTCTTTGTTCAGATCTGATGTGTGGCAGTTAAAAACACACCCTTAAAATGCAATCACAGTGTTAATGTGAACAGTGAAGTGCTGTTGTGGTTTCTCAAGAATACTGTCCCTTTAAATTTTGCTGCTTTGCTTTACAGCCCCTTTTTTCTGCTCAATTAGTGACTTTCCCGTTTTTTCACAGTGAATGCAGCATTTTTGAATTGATCCTTAATTATCAGATCTTATTCCTGGTAGTGGTGGGGTATTATTTCTTGTCTCTGTGCAGCAATGACATCTGCTTATTAATTTATACCTTTTATTTTGTAATCATTATTGCACTGTTATGAAATTACCATAATTAAAAAACACTATTTTTTTGGCTGCAAAAAGTAAATAAGTAATTAAAACTCACTCCTGCCTTCCTTGAACAAATTCTGATAATTATGGATGTATTGAGGAATGCCACTGCTACTGTGAGTAAACAGAAATTAATATATTAAGCAGAATTATCTGTAAAACAAAGAAGCAATATTGAAAGTGGCATTCACAAGGAGAAGTGAAACTTTTGCTGAATAGGGTTCACTTCCAGGTCAATATTCCCTTAGGGATGAGTATTGCAGGACTGGGAAGGAGTGCTAGATAAAGTGCCACATTGAACCACATTTTCAGTGGATGTGGAAGAGGAATGAGTAAGTAGGACGAAGTCATTATTTCTGCATTTCTCCAAGCTGATCCAGGTTTGATATACTGGTGACAGAATGGGTTGTCCTTCTTTGAAAGGACAGGGATACATTTTCATCCTAATAGTTGCATTATTTCAAAATATTCTGAAGTGGCTCTTGTTTTGTGAGTTCCTGTTAATTTGATATCACGTTCTCATTCTGAGATATGCGGCAACTTCCTGCAAGCAGCTTTTGCACCAGTTCCTCACTTTATAGCATTCCTTAGTGGAAGAGGAATCAGAAATTACCTATGGCATTTCATGTGTTTTGAGGACTCCCTTTTTTCTCCTGGGGGTTCTTCAGAGCCAGCGCTTCCCTGTCTGCTTTTCTCCTCCCGTAAAGAGGTTCTGGATAAGGCAGGAGATAAAGAGATTCATGTCCCCTCTGCATCTCTCTCTCCCCCCTGCCCTCAGGGACATTCATCACAGAGTGGACGGATGGTGCAAAGATCTGTGAGTCGTTTCTGGCAGGCGAGGAGGAAGCCTACCGTACTGTGGCTGAGCAGCTGGCTGCAGTTACACAGTTCTATGGTTTCGATGGCTGGCTGGTCAACATTGAGAACTCTTTGAGTGTGAGCAATATTCCCTCCTCTGTAACCCTTCCCAACCCTCTTATGGCTCCCTCCATGCACGGGCAGGTGGCCCCTTGGTTGAAGCTCAAGATCATCTTCTTCCCTTGCTGTGTGTCTATGCGTGTGAGCCTACCCACCTGCTCCTTCTGCCATTCCTTAAAGTCCCTGGTTGAGCTTCAGAAACCTGGTGGGGCTCAAGGGAAGCTGCGACTGTGTCCATAGGCACACTCAGTTTCACAATGCAGCTTCATTACCCCTTACTAGGGTGATTAACAGGCAGGAGAAGGCTGGCTTTGTCCGTTCTCTTCAGTGTGGATGGATGTTACTAATCTGCGTTGTAACTGTTAGTACACATTAAGGAGTATTAGATTTTCCAGATTAATTTGAAATAAAAAGGTGTGATGCTGTGTAGGCATCCTAGAGGAGCACTGTGTACCATGGCCAATAAAGTCCCTTAAGTGCAGGAAATGTAATTGGACAGTATTTTTGTGGAAAATTCCTGTTGCTGTGGTATATCGTAAAAGATGGTTTAGGCATACTGGATAATTAGGAGAGGAGGCTGGAAGTAATAGCACTTCAGAAATCCTGTCCACCTACCTTCTCTTCCTGCCATAGGTGACACAATCTTCCTGACAACTCAGCACTTCCCCTGTTTCACAACCACCAACCTGCCTTTCCTCCAGCTTCTGCAAAAATATAATGCAGTTACTATATTCTGAACTATAGTACTGGAACTTTTTCATCTAATATTGTCCAGCTGAAGTATTTGGAATATGACATTGATGGTGATCTCAACACCTCCTTATTCAGAACTCTGCCAAAGTGCTGGGATTTTGAGGTCCCACCTATTGAGAGGGGCATAGATCAATGGGGAAGAATTTTAAGAAGGGGAAAGGGGTGGGAAAGAATAATCCAAAGGGAAAGACTGAAAGGAAGGAGAATGCTGAGGTGGAGGTATACTAGCTTGCTGCTGTGTAAAAATATTCGGCACTTTGTTTGTCATACTAACTTTTCAGTATATAAGTGATTGTTTTACTGCCTCTCTTGAGCCATGTGGGAAATCTAGGTAAAAAAAAATAGGGGTGTGTCCAGACCTCCTTAGAGTTCTCCTGCAGAATGAGGTCTTACTCTTTCTCCCTCCATTTTATAAATTACTTAGCAGTTAATTGAGTTCTGGTTCATAGATCAGTCCAACACCTCCTCCATTGCCTGTGCTTCAGGTGTACTGTCTGACTTCTTTAGTTTTTCAAGGACTGCAACCAATGTTCCCTCTAAGCTGTGGAGTCTTGTGAGCAAAAATTCTCCTTTGTGAGCTACTGGCATTAAAATTGTGAGCAAGTTGATTTGGCTACTGCATAAATTAGTCTGCTCTGGAGCCATTCTTCCTGAGCTAAGACAAAAATGTGTGAGCCAGAGGCTAAAAACCTGTGAGCTAGCTCACACTAACTCAGCTTAGAGGGAACACTGCTCACAGGGTGTCTGTTGTGGGGAGGGGAAGGGAAAGGAGTTTGTAAGCCGCAGTTCGCAAAAAACATGCTCCTGGGTATGTGTGTGTATGTGAGATATTGGAAGCAGAGGCCTAACACAGATAGGCAGAAACAGGTTTTCTGAGCTGTATCTCAGTGAGGAAATTTATTTTCCTTGAACAAAATATGGTGACTTTGTATGCACCCTGCACTGGAAAGTAAGTTCACACATGGACGTGCAGCATTTCCATTGTCATTGAATGAGCTCTGGGTAGAACTTCAAGGACATATACAGGACAATAACGTTGTGCACGGGGGAGGGGGGGCAGGCTGGCTGTGGGATGACTGGATCTCCTAAAGGATCCTTCCCACAGGGTGATTACGGAGTTCTTTCATGGCAGGTGACGGCTGCACAGAATATGCCCCGCTTCTTGCGATACCTGACGGACCAGGTGCATCAAGCTGTTCCAGGAGGAAAGGTGCTGTGGTATGACAGTGTCTTGAAGAGTGGAGAGCTCAGGTGGCAGAATGAACTCAATGATAACAACCAGTGAGTGATGTGAGCCCTCCTGCTCCCCTCCCCAAAAGAAATCCAGAGATAGTGGGTCTTGCTCAGAAAGGCAGAGTAAGAAAAGCAACTGTCTTTTATAAACGGAGGGTTATTTTTACTGTCCCATTGAGGCCTCATCCGTGCCCTGGTGTATTTCCTGTTACATTTTGACAATGAGCCCCACATTGATTAGGGTGCGCCATTGTGAGAACTAGAGTAGGTTTGGACTAGAGGTGCTACCTGTTTGCATGAGCACACTGTTTCAGTTTGAAAATACCAGTTTCTGACATGAATTTTTC